TACACACGGGGTTCCTCAACTCCGTACATGGCTCTTAAATTCGACAGAGCCTTTCTTCTGGAATCCTGATCGCCGACCTACAAACGTGTACTGTGTTGCATAATTTTCGCAGAAGCCAATTTTAGGCTTAATAATTTAAATTCAGTGTTTCCGTGGTTCCCTGCAAAGGGAACTTTGTACGGAGTTAAAAAACCCCGTCGAGCTCAGCAACCACGGACGGAGTTGAAAGGCTCTGTCGAATTTAAGAGCCATGTACGGAGTTGACTATAGTCATACATAAATTACGTCACATATCGTTTAAAATAATCAAATTAAAGCAATACATATATATTTGAGATAATAACTTAATTAGGACCTATAGCCTTGTTTACCTCTATGTAGGTCAAGGACTTTTTGTATAACGTCCCTAGCTGTTTGTTAGAGCGGTTTGACAACTCTCAAAATAAGCCTTTTGTCACGAGCGGTTTGAAACTCGTTAAATAAGCCATATTCGTTTTGAGCTATGGGATTGTTTGGTTGTGCGTTTTGCGCGTTAAGAGCGGGTCGTGACTCTTCAACTTAACAAGTGTCTATTACTACATTTTCAATTTGGGTCATTCTTTATACCATATGTTACATATCCTTCCGTCCGGTACATATAATCATCTTAGTTTCTGTTTGAGTGCAGCATGTTATTGTTATGTCTGTATCTCTATTGTTGTTAGCTTGTCTTTTGATTTTTTATTTATATTTCATTAGACTCGTTTGATTGGTATTTTGAAAGGAGAAGTATGAAAGTTGAGCAGTTACTATCGCTTATTTAGAGCCTTCGCGCGGATTTTACTACGTAAAATCCTTTCCTCGGGAAGGGGGGTATTTGTAACGTTGTAAACCTTAGACTTGGGACCTACCTTAATTCAGTTGATATTCATTCCGTTTTGCATTCCAAATAACATAATTGGATGTAATTTAATTGTTTTAAATTCACAATAATGTAAAAAAAAAAAAAACGTAAAGGCCCTGGGGAACGTAAAGGTCTATTTATGTGCTCCAGGTGTGCCCAGTAGTTAGATCCGAGCCCAGTCCCAGAACAATATAGGAAAGGGGTGGTACCTCTCGGTTCGAAGCCGGCACAGGCTTCTACCACAGTTACCTATAGCCCTGGGGAACGCAATGGTGTTGTGCCCCAGGTGTGCCCAGTTGTTAGATCCGAGCCCAGTCCCAGAACAATATAGGAAAGGGGTGGTACCTCTCGGTTCGAAGCCGGCACAGGCTTCTACCACAGTTGCAATTCCAACACCAAAAAATTAAAAGAGAAAAAAAAAAACAAACCACCGACCACGCTCAAAACGCCAGTGACAGCCCACCAAAGTAATTCGGGCCCCACGTTGGGCGCCATTTGCTACGGGATAAACCCGAGCAAAAAAATAAAAATCTAAAACTAGAAATTAAACAACACTCGTTTAAAACAATATCAATTTATTGTTTAAAACTACACAAAAAACAAAAAACAAGGCGTGGGTCCTACGCCTACTTGGTGGCACTGTCACTGATGAGCGTTTACACTAATAAAAATATGGGTATATACGAGACGTGGTTGGCGGTGTTGGTGGTGGCCACTTAACTATGGCATGAGGTTGAGGCGCATGCCGGTGCCGCTATCCCAGTCCGGGTACGACGTGGCGGCTATAGGGCATTGGCACGGGGCCAGGCCCTTGACGCTCGCCATCTCCAGGTTTCCACTACACACGGGGTTCCTCAACTCCGTACATGGCTCTTAAATTCGACAGAGCCTTTCAACTCCGTCCGTGGTTGCTGAGCTCGACGGGGTTTTTTAACTCCGTACAAAGTTCCCTTTGCAGGGAACCACGGAAACACTGAATTTAAATTATTAAGCCTAAAATTGGCTTCTGCGAAAATTATGCAACACAGTACACGTTTGTAGGTCGGCGATCAGGATTCCAGAAGAAAGGCTCTGTCGAATTTAAGAGCCATGTACGGAGTTGAGGAACCCCGTGTGTAGTGGAAACCTGGAGATGGCGAGCGTCAAGGGCCTGGCCCCGTGCCAATGCCCTATAGCCGCCACGTCGTACCCGGACTGGGATAGCGGCACCGGCATGCGCCTCAACCTCATGCCATAGTTAAGTGGCCACCACCAACACCGCCAACCACGTCTCGTATATACCCATATTTTTATTAGTGTAAACGCTCATCAGTGACAGTGCCACCAAGTAGGCGTAGGACCCACGCCTTGTTTTTTTGTTTTTTGTGTAGTTTTAAACAATAAATTGATATTGTTTTAAACGAGTGTTGTTTAATTTCTAGTTTTAGATTTTTATTTTTTTGCTCGGGTTTATCCCGTAGCAAATGGCGCCCAACGTGGGGCCCGAATTACTTTGGTGGGCTGTCACTGGCGTTTTGAGCGTGGTCGGTGGTTTTGTTTTTTTTTTCTCTTTTAATTTTTTGGTGTTGGAATTGCAACTGTGGTAGAAGCCTGTGCCGGCTTCGAACCGAGAGGTACCACCCCTTTCCTATATTGTTCTGGGACTGGGCTCGGATCTAACAACTGGGCACACCTGGGGCACAACACCATTGCGTTCCCCAGGGCTATAGGTAACTGTGGTAGAAGCCTGTGCCGGCTTCGAACCGAGAGGTACCACCCCTTTCCTATTTGTTCTGGACTGGGCTCGGATCTAACTACTGGGCACACCTGGAGCACATAAATAGACCTTTACGTTCCCCAGGGCCTTTACGTTTTTTTTTTTTTTTACATTATTGTGAATTTAAACAATTAAAATTACATCCAATTATGTTATTTGGAATGCAAAACGGAATGAATATCAACTGAATTAAGGTAGGTCCCAAGTCTAAGGTTTACAACGTTACAAATACCCCCCTTCCCGAGGAAAGGATTTTACGTAGTAAAATCCGCGCGAAGGCTCTAAATAAGCGATAGTAACTGCTCAACTTTCATACTTCTCCTTTCAAAATACCAATCAAACGAGTCTAATGAAATATAAATAAAAAATCAAAAGACAAGCTAACAACAATAGAGATACAGACATAACAATAACATGCTGCACTCAAACAGAAACTAAGATGATTATATGTACCGGACGGAAGGATATGTAACATATGGTATAAAGAATGACCCAAATTGAAAATGTAGTAATAGACACTTGTTAAGTTGAAGAGTCACGACCCGCTCTTAACGCGCAAAACGCACAACCAAACAATCCCATAGCTCAAAACGAATATGGCTTATTTAACGAGTTTCAAACCGCTCGTGACAAAAGGCTTATTTTGAGAGTTGTCAAACCGCTCTAACAAACAGCTAGGGACGTTATACAAAAAGTCCTTGACCTACATAGAGGTAAACAAGGCAAAAAAAACTTTCCACCTATAACCAGGTAAAGGAACAACCAAAAATCCCAAAACGTGTAGGCTTATTTACTTAACAACTATCAAATTAAAACATGTAACAATTATAGGTACTAGTAACCACAAAAGGTGTTAAAGCTTGGTTCCAAAACCCAAAAAAAAATTAATGAATTGAAGTTGTTTAGTCCAGATGGGGTAGAACAAAGAAAAAAATTAAAACAATAATATTCAGTGTAAAAACACCCTACATTGCATCTAGTGCAATAACAAAACGTACCCCACAATAAAAACAGCCGCATTCTATACCCTTAAGCTTAATTTCTTAAGGTAAGAAGCGACCAGTACAAAAAAAACATACATACCACAACACGAAACGTATTTTTCGAATAGGTTTCGGTTTGGTTAAACTACGACTAAACAATTCTCCTATTCTAGAAAAAAACTTTAAATAGCATTGAAATAATGTCTACTCATAAAAAAGAAATTAAAAAAATTATATGAAAAATCAAATTAAGCAAATTCCAATAACCGCCTAAGGCTACCCACTGACCAAATATATTTATACGCGCGACCCACAATACATATGTTGCACTACTGTGTGTGTGTGTGTGTTGCACAGAATTAAAAAAAAAACTTACCCAGTTTTAAAAAAAAAATGTTGAAGGTAGAATTACAACAAAAAAAAAAAAAAAGTTAAGGCCCTGGAGAACGTAGAGGTCTAATTTATGTGCTCCAGGTGCCTTAACTTTTTTTTTTTTTTTGTTGTAATTCTACCTTCAACATTTTTTTTTTTAAAACAAAATCTCTCTGATCCTAAATTAGGACCTATAGCCTTGTTTACCTCTATGTAGGTCAATTAGGACCTATAGCCAACTGTATGACTATATGTATATATGACAATTTGATTATTTTATACGGAGTTGACTATAGTCATACATATTTTTACTTTAAACGTAAAGGCCCTGGGGAACGTAAAGGTCTATTTATGTGCTCCAGGTGTGCCCAGTAGTTAGATCCGAGCCCAGTCCCAGAACAATATAGGAAAGGGGTGGTACCTCTCGGTTCGAAGCCGGCACAGGCTTCTACCACAGTTACCTATAGCCCTGGGGAACGCAATGGTGTTGTGCCCCAGGTGTGCCCAGTTGTTAGATCCGAGCCCAGTCCCAGAACAATATAGGAAAGGGGTGGTACCTCTCGGTTCGAAGCCGGCACAGGCTTCTACCACAGTTACCTAACCCTCCTCACCCGCCTAACGTCAGCCTCTTAAGGTGGCCGTCAAGGCTTTTAGGGACTAACCCATTTGCCGACACAACTATCGGCACAATAATAGCCGAGTCCACACTCCACATGTCAACAACCTCGTGAGCCAAGTCAAGATATTTCAATTGTTTATCTTTCTCAGCTTTCACGAGGTTCTCGTCATGACGAATGGCAACACACATGCCATTAGTTATATTACTAGCACGCAAATACCGCCGCCGAGAGATCATTCAAAGTTTTGCTGTGCGGGGCAGAAAGGTTCGCGAAAATCGCACAGTTGTTGACAGGTTTTGTGTGAGGCCGTTGTATCATTCCGGTCGAACCGACCCATTCGTGCCGAAGCTTGGATCTCGCACACTATTTAAAAATAAATAACTTACCGGATTGCAGATTGTCGACATTATTATTTCCTCGATGTTATTTCTTTATCTTAATAATTGAAATTTATCTTTATCTTTATCTTTATCTTTGAATAACACTTGATTACTGACGACCGCTTAGTTCGGCTCACAAGCAACGAATGCAGCACGTCGATTCTATAAAATTTGTTTGATTTTGAATCTTGTTCGAGTGCGAAGTGAGTGTCGAAGTGACGGGGTAATTAAATTTTAGAATGCCACTTTTAACGTCATCTCATACTTTATCTATCAAAATGTTGCTGTCAATTTAGTTCAACTCGCAAGTGTAGCGCTAGTGAGTACACTAGCGCTACACTTGCAACTTCGAATCTGAATCCGCTGTGAGAAGTAGTAACTTCTCACAGCGGATTCAGATTCGAAGTTTAGAATGAAGTCTTACAGAATCACACCCCAGGTAATCAAAGACAGCTCCCTTACTTTGTTAATTGTATACACAATTTCCAATTTGTAAAACCGCTGAAACTAAATCTTTTAACGTGTAGGTACTTATTATATATTTTTTTCAGTTTTTCATCGCACTTGAACAGTAATTGTTAATAATGTTTTAGTGTTCAGACGATCATGAGGAAAAAATTTTACGTTAATTTTTATTTACGATGCATAACGGTAGGTGTGTGCATGTCATTCGTTTACTAATGGTTCCGCAGGATAAAAACGGGAGACCTATTTCAAAGATATATTAAGTGTGGGAGAACCATTCTTCGACACGAATGGGTCGGCTCGATCGGAGTAATACCACGGCATCACAGAAAACCAGCGTAAAACAACCACAGCGTTTGTTTCGTTGTGTTTCACCGTGAGAGTGAGGTTACCGGAGGCCCGATCTTTCCCCTGACCCAATCCCTAAATCTCCAAATTCCCTTATCCCCAGAAGGTCGGTAACGCACTCGTAACTCCTCTGTTACGGGTGTGGCTGATTGCTTACCATCAGGTAATCCGTCTGCTCGTTTGCCGGTCTATTAGGTACATAAAAAAAAGATTTTGTTGACCGTCTGTCTGATTGGAGACCACGTCTAGACAAACGTAGTGTAGGGCGCCCTCCAGCTAGGTGGACTGACGACATCCGTAAGGCTGGCAGTGGTTGGATGAGAAGAGCTGAACATCGAGCTCACTGACGGGTTATTGGAGAGGCCTATGTATAGTATGTCCAGCAGTGGACGATATCAGACTGTTGATTCCCTTTATAGAGGAAATCATCACTCTACGATCGTTGGGCGCCGAATCGCAGACAAAACCACGTGCAAGCAGCAGTGTGATTCTGTAAGACTTCATTCTAAACTTCGTATCTGAATCCGCTGTGAGTAGTAGTACACTAGCGCTACACTTGCGACTTGAACTAAATTGACCGCAACATTTTGATAGATAAAGTATGAGATGACGTTAAAAGTGGCATTCTATAATGTAATTTCCCCGTCACTTCGACGCTCACTTCACACTCGAACAAGATTCAAAATCCAACAAGTTTTATAGAATCGACGTGCAGTTAGTATTAAGTTAAATATTTTCGTTTAAGGAAAAATATTAGAAGAAAACACTATTTTATTAATACCTAAGTAAATTAATATCAAGCAATACGAAAATAGCGCTCTTGGGAAAACCATTTTAATAAATAAAATCAATTATTGATAAACATTTAATCTATACCTAAAATTGAACTCTCCATGTTTTGGCACAACTTTTTTTTATGGAATAGGTGGCAAACGAGCAGACGGATCACCTGATGGTAAGCGATCAGCGACGCCCATGGACATCCGCAACACGAGAGGAGTCACAGGTGCGTTGCCGGCCTTTTAAGAAGGAATATGCTCGTTTCTTGAAGGTTTGAAGGTCGTATCGGTTCGGGAATACCGCCGCCGGAAGATCATTCCAAAGTTTTGCTGTGCGGGGCAGAAAGTTTCGGGTGAATCGCACAGTTGTTGACTGCCAACCATCTATGTGATGGGGATGAAAAATTTTTCGCGTGGAACGATGGCGAAAAGATGCGGCGGGGATCAAACCAAACAATTCCTCAGAACACTCCCCGTGATAGATGCGATAGAGAATACATAGCGAGGCTACATCCCTACGCAGTGCCAAAGAGTCCAGCCGGTCCGAGACAACAGGGCGGTCGACAATACGGACAGCTCGTCGTTGAATTCGGTCCAGAGGGAGAAGCTGGTACTGGGTTGCCCCCGCCCAAAGATGAGAACAGTATTCCATATGGGGCCGAACTTGCGCCTTGTAAAGTAGCAGGCGATGCTCCGGGGTGAAATAATGCCTCGATCTATTGAGCACACCAAGCTTCTTCGAGGCTAACTTGGCCTTACCCTCTAGATGACCGCGAAACTGGACTTCGCTCGATATGTCGACGCCAAATATCCCAATACCGGCCGAGGCTGTGAGGGGTGCTCTGAAATTGAGGAGATACGACCAACGGCAGTTTTTTAGCTGTGAACACGCAGACCTGTGGAGTGATACCACGGCGTCGATGATAACCAGCGTGATACAATCACAGCGTTCAGCCGAGGTCACGGGTCAAGCGCAATTATACCTTTCGCGGCCTCGGCCTAAAGCAGGAGAACGAACGGGATGGAGTTTAGTCAGTAAGAGTCTGACACTCCCTCCTGCCAAGCCTAGGGCTAAAAAATGACATTTTATATTTTTTTCCCTTAAAACTAAAACGTTTTGTTTTGTTCGGGAGTGAGGTTACACCCTTATCCCTATTCCTAGATCCCCCAATCCTCGAATCCTCAAATCCCCAAAAAGCCGGTAACGCACTTATGAACTCCTTGTGTTGCGGGTGTCCACGGGAGGTGCATTTTTCTTATTTTTATTTATCGAGATAGACATTCATCGGAAAACGATTATGCTAGTTATTGCTTACCATCAGGTCTGCCCGTTTGTCTCTCTATTAAATTTTAGAAGACAGAAAGTGATGTTTCCTTAGTTCAGAAAACTGATGTGATATTTGTTGTATATTGGATGGCGTCTGCGGATGCAGGACAGGCGCTATTTAAGGCCATCTGGAAGACCAGACTAGTGCGCCATTGGTGTGGTGGACCTGGCTACGACTTGATTACGTTCGGAGTAGTGATACGCGAAGGTGATGATGAGGATGACGGTTGTAAGGTGTACGTAGGTACATGGTAAAATAATTATCTTGATAAATTACCTAGTTTTATTTTTTATGTAATATCTCGGCAAACGAGCAGACGGATTACCTGATGGTAAGCAATCAGCGCTGCCCATGGACACTCGCAACGGAGGAGTTACGAGTGCGTTGCCGACCTTTTAGGGATTAGGGATTTGGAGATTTAGGGATTGAGGAGGGATTGGGGAAGGGGAAGGATTGGGCCTCCGGTAACCTCACTCATACGGCGAAACACAACGCAGCGGTTATTTCACGCCGGTTTTTTGTGAGGCCGTGGTATCACTCCGGTCGAGCCGACCCATTCGTGCCGAAGCATGGCTCACCCACGCTTAAATAGTTAGTTAAATTAGCCGAATGTAGGCTCATGTAAGTGCACTTTGAACGCAACCTGCATTCGGATACATTGATCATAGGGCTCATGTTCAGCCGGGGTTGCGGGGTAAGCGCAATGAGGCACCGCGACCTCGGCATAGAGCAGGAGAAGGAACAGGGGGGTTTTTAGTCAGTAAGAGTCTGACACTCCCTCCTGCCAGGCCCTGGGCGGGAGAAGTCATTTGATGATTTTACCCTCACAAAAAAAAACCATCATCAACATCAAAATTAGCCCGTTTCTACCTAATACCGGATTTGTCCCCGATAGCACAGCACTGAGTCCTATCTATGCCTATTCCATCGAATCTAATCCTTGTTATCGTAAGAATTCTTTTACTTTCCGGTTGCGGGCGGTTTATTAAATAAGTTTCCAACTATTTTCCCTGTTACCAAGCGACTTATCTCCTTTCTGTTTGATCATTTTCGATACTTGAAATGTTGTCGCTTCGAAGATGGATGTTTATTTTTAAGAGTTAGATATCTATAATTAATTTATTGTATAAGTAGAATTATGATTGTGTTAATAGTCGATTTATTTGATTAAAAGACTCGTGTTTAGGTTTATATAAATAACTAGCTCTTACCCGCGGCGTTGCTCCCGTCATTTGACTTCCTACCCTACTCTATCTACCATTGGTATACTATACCTACCCTACTCTTCCTACCCTACTCTACCTAACCTACTCTACCTACCCCACTCTACCTAACCTACTCTACCTACTCTATCCTATCCTATGTCCTTCTCCTGGCTCTAAACTACCTCCCTGCCAATTTTCAGCTAAATCGGTTCAGCCGTTCTTGAGTTATAAGTGGTGTAACTAACACGACTTTCTTTTATATATAAGTATATAGATTTATTTTGTTGGGCACACTGGTGTAACTTTACTATTGGTCCGATCCAAACTTCCGGAGTAATGGTAGGGGTGATAGTAGCCTACACCTTGGGTCGATTACACCTAACGAGTACAGTGGTGAGTCAGTAAATAAGCTCTCGGCCGAGAGAGTTGCCGAACCGAGTGGGTGTTTACACGTATTTACACCAGTGGCGAGTCAGTTCAGTTTTGATCACGATGTCTGCAATCGATCGGAATTTGAACGGGTTTTAAATCGGCTGTTACCAGATATTATTAACGAATCGTGGATTTTGGTTGGTGAATAAATTGTTTGAAAAAATACACAAACCCGCACACTGCTTGATGACGAATAACGAACGAGTGGCGAGTGGCCGAGTGACAAGCGATTGCGTGTTTATACGTACCGAGCGGGATAGCGAGTCGCTGCGGAGGCAGAAGAATGAAGTGGAGTGGTGGGTACTCGGCCTAGTAAACAAATTGGGATTCTAGTGACTCTCTCGCCTCTCTTCTCGACCGAGTACTCGGCCGAGCACTCGTTAAAGTGTTTATACCAACCGAGCACTCGGCCGAGGATACTCTCGCCGCTGTACTCGTTAGGTGTAATCGACCCGTAAAACCGGGAAGAAATCGGTCACTTGGCCTCAGTAAAAATATCATATTGACTGGCGAATACAGTGTGAGTTATATCTCTTCAGTTCAGGTCTACTAAATTCTGTAATTATGTCTGAAAGTTATGTTTATAGGTTATTGTAATACCGTTAGGTACATGTTAAGTTGAATTTATGTTCATAAATTATATATTGGCATATATATGTATGTTAACGTCGTGGTGGCCTGGAGGTTAAGCAGCCCGCTTCTCATGCATGAGGGTGTGGGTTAGAAACCTGGCAAGTACCAATGTGACTTTTTCCGAGTTATATGTACTTTCTATGGTTATTTAGACACCACTGACATATGGTGAAGGTAAACATCGTGAGGAAACCTGGACTTATAATTTCTAATTATAAGTTTGAAATCGCCAACCCACATTGAGCAAGCGTGGTGATTAATGCTCTAGGGTGATTCTTCACATCAATTAAAAAAAAATTAATAATGTCATTATCCTCAACCGAAAATTAACGAGTCTGCTGATTAAAACACAGATAATTATTTTATTAAATTAAATCTCACCACTGCTTACAAGCAACCGATTAAAAATATTGTATAAAATAAATTACTAAGATGCTTAAAAACCTGGGAGGATAATGACTTGTTAAATAAAAGTTAAGGTTTTTTGGAGAATCACCCTCTAACCTTCTCCGTATGAGAAGAGGCCTTTGCTCAGCAATGGGCACTTATAGGCTAATGATGATGATAATGATGATGATGTATGTTAATAAATTATATATTGGCATATATATAGATAATATATATATTGGCAGCTGCTCAGTGTTTCTCTGTAGTTTTCCTTATAGAAATCTACTTTTACAAAACATTCATAGATAAAGCATTTATTTCGTAGAACAAAAGAAAACATATACCTACCTACAATGATTAAAAATAAGACATTTAACATTGTTATGCCAATCGTGGAGAGCCATGCTTCGGAACGAATGGGTCGGCTCGACCGAAGTGATATCACGGCCTCACAGAAAACCGGCGTGAAACAACCACAGCGTTGTGTTTCGCCTTGTGAGTGAGGTTACCGGAGGCCCAATCCTTTCCCGCCCCCAATCCTTCTTCAATCCCTAAATCTCCAAATCCCTAATCCCTAAAAGGTCGGCAACGCACTCGTAACTCCTCCGTTGCGGGTGTCCATGGGCGGCGCTGATTGCTTACCATCAGGTAATCCGTCTGCTCGTTCGCCGACCAATTACATAAAAAAAAATACCTTTTTCTTAGCCATTAATTCAAATTAGTGCAGTTTAATAAATGTCATTTGTTTCCTCTTATATACTTACTATACCAGGTTGTTGACTAAATATTTTTTTGAATACCTTTAAAAGAAGCCACAAATAGGTTGGTCTATTTAGAAGACGTTGACACTGACCTTATTAATGTGTGGCAATATTAGGGAGGCGTTAAAATCCTTTATTGTTAAATTTCTTTGTTTGTTTTTTCTGTTTTTTCTTACTTATCGTCTGATTTTTTTTTATGTAATAGGTTGGCAAACGAGCAGTCGGATTACCTGATGGTAAGCAATCAGCGGCGCTGATTGCTTACCATGGACACCCGCAACGGAGGAGTTACGAGTGCGTTGCCGACCTTTTAGGGATTAGGGATTTGGAGATTTAGGGATTGAAGAAGGATTGGGGGCGGGAAAGGATCGGGCCTCCGGTAACCTCACTCAGACGGCGAAACACAACGCTGTGGTTGTTTCACGCCGGTTTTCTGTGAGGCCGTGGTATCACTCCGGTCTAGCCGACCCATTCGAGCCGAAGCATGGTGCTCCCACACTTTTATAAATGATATTTATTAAGTTTGTAGTAGATAATTCGTTGTGATAACACTTCCACACATGAATTGCACTGTTCTGGTCACTTTTATTATATTATTGAGTTGATACTGTTAATAAGTTATTTTTAAACAATTTTAATACGGGAGCTGTTTACCTACATGACAGCTAGCGCCATCTCTATATGGATAGATAGCTACAATGTTTTTGAGTGCTATAGGCTATTGGCTATGCGCGCGACAGTGGCGACGCCTATCGTTTACAACATTTCAGGAAGCTGTCAAATAATAACAATGTAATTAATCGTAACTTGGCTAATTATAATCGGGACTTGGCTGCTATCGAGAACTGCAGTGTGATTCTGTAAGACTTCATTCTAAATTTCGAATCTGAATCCGCTGTGAGTAGTAGTACACTAGCGCTACACTTGCGAGTTGAACTAAATTGACAGCAACATTTTGATAGATAAAGTATGATTTCCCCGTCACTTCGACGCTCACTTCGCACTCGAACACGATTCAAAATCAAACAAATTTTATAGAATCGACGTGCTGGTCCATCCTGTTTGGAATCGCAGTCAATCCTGACAAGTGCCAGGCAATTGTAATAGGTAGTAACCATAATATCGCCAAAATTAATGTAAATACTCTACCATCAGTCACTTTTTAAGTGTGGGAGAGCCAAGCTTCGGTACGAATGGGTCGGCTGGACCGGAGTGATACCACGGCCTCATAGAATACCGGCGTGAAACAACTCACAGCGTTGTGTTTCGCCGTGTGAGTGAGGTTATCGGAGGCCCAATCCCTCCCCTTCCCCTATCCCTTCCCAATCCTTATATCCACAACCCCCATCCCCAAAAGGCCGGCAACGCACTCGTAACTCCTTTGGTGTTGCGGGTGTCCATGGGCGGCGCCGATTGCTTACCATCAGGTAATCCGTCTGCTCGTTTGCCGACTTATACATCCGGTTTATTAACAGTGTTAGGGACTTGGGCTTGCACATTGACAGCACCCTCAGTTGGCGGAATCAAGTTGCCAGTGTGAGTCAAAAGGTTACAGGATCATTGCGGTCTCTGTATCGTCACAGAAACTTACTGCCTCCTAGCACTAAGGCGATGCTTGTACAGACCTTAAGCCCGGTTTCCACTACGAAAGGGTAATGTGCGGAAAATGGTTAAGCGGAACGGGCTCCTTTTGGGCTTCTGTGTGGAAACGCTACTATGTAAATTGTAATTGCGAGTTAAGCAGAGTCCGTAACTACTCCCGCTCCGCTCCCTAGAACTGAGCGAGCTCATTTCTACTCTTTCTACATGCTCGGCTCTTTCCGTCCGACTATTTGTTGGTGGAAATACAAGTTTGCAGTTTGCGTTTGCGAGTTTAACGAAGTCATTAATGGGTCCGTTCCGCTCGCGGTGGCAACCGGGCTTTAATCTTCCCCATCATCGATTATACTTTGACCTGAATGCAGATCTCTCAATAAACTCGACCGTCTTCTAAATAACTGCATTCGATTCGTTTCCAACTTACGTAAATATGATCACGTGTCTGGGCAGCGAACATTGTTGAAATGATTGCCTATCCGTCAGCGCAGAGAGCTAAGGGCGCTCACAACTTTATTTACTCTTCTCAACTCTCCCTCTTCCCCTGACTATTTATCTTCATATTTCCAGTACGTGTGCGACAACCATACTAGAAGTCTGCGCTCTTCGCACAATCGACTTTTGCATGTCCCTGCCCACCGCACTAACTATACTCATTCTTATTTATTTATTATTTATGCACATCACACATACAGTAAATAGATAACAAATACAGAGACAGAGGTACATAGGAATTCCTCTTTCTTCATACAAGTCATTTAAAAATAAGTCGTTTCCTAGTGATCATTTTAGCGTAGGTAAAGCTACTTAATTAGACCTGCAGTATGCGTAGTTAACGGCTTCGTTAAGTGTCTTTTTACACTCTGTATAAGATACTGGGTACAACGTACCAACCGTTCAAAATCACGCGCGGCGCTGCGGGATTCAGTGTGCTAGTGTGCCATACCTTGCGTCTCGCCCCGCACCTACCCGCGGGGGTGCATGTTTCTCCGCGTGTATGCGCGTGATCCGCATGAACGCGCGTGGATGCATTTTTCTGTAGACTGTGCGTGTTTTCCATACAAACAGAGATACTTACAAGTAACGGAAGAACACGCATCCACGCGCTTCGCTGCATCATGCGGGGCAGTGTGAGAATCGCCTAACACGTTTTTTGGGCAATAGCGGAAAAACGAAATACAGAAATAAAACTCCGTAATGTAAACATAAAAATATATTTATTAACTTTAAAATATGAAAACAAAGATTATATATTTACAATATTTAAAAGTTTATAACATAACTACCCACTAACAACAGTTTTTAAATAAAACCACATAAATAAAATATAATTACACGTTTTTTTTTATTGCATTTTCATAAAACTCCCCCTAAACACTTAAATTAAGCGCGAAAAAGAAAACCTGGCATGTACCAATGTGACTTTTTCCGAGTTATATGTACTTTCTATGATTATTTAGACACCACTGACATACGGCGAAGGAAACCTGGACTTATAGTTTCAAATTATAAATTTGAAATCGCCAATCAGCCTTGAGCAAGCGTGGTAATTAATGCTCAAACCTTCTCCGTGTGAGAAGAGGCCTTTGCTCAGCAGTGGGACAGTTTTAGGTTGATGATTATGTATGATGACGATGCATGATGATTGATGATGAGTGATTAAGATGAAGATGATGAAGATGAATGATGATTGACCCACGAATATTAAAATTGTTTAGGAGGAGTTATATTCAAATGTAATATTTAAATAAATTAATAAGATTACCAGCATCTTTTCTTTATTTTGCTAGGGGGACCTGAAAGACAAAATACAATTTTTTATTTAAATACGACAGTTTCCAACTAGTCAAATTCAATACTTTTATCCAAATGTCAAAAACGATACTTTTCTATGAAATTTGTATGAAACACTGAGCTATGACGTCATAGTATTTTTGCGTCAAATATCTTACTAATTTCTTAATAATTAGTTAGTAAATATCTAAAACTTAGTGTATCGATCGATCGATGAATAAAAGTATAGTTATAATTATCAATATTTTATTGTATTTAAACGTCGAATTAATTTATTTTTGACCTAGGAAACTACTCAATTGTATAAAAATGTGGGCGAGCCATGCTTCAGCACCAATGGTTAAGCTCGACCGGCGTCAAACAACCTCAACGTTGTGTTTCGCTGTGTGAGTGAGGTTACCGGAGGCCTAATGCTACCCCTTCCCGAATCCCAAAATATTTAAATCCCTCTGGAAAAGGTTGGCAGCTCACTCGTAATTCCTCCGTTGCTGCGGGTGTCCTTGGGCGGCGATGATTGCTTACCATCAGGTAATCCGTCTGCCCGTTTGCCGACCTATACCATAAAACAAAAACTATGATTGTTACATAGATATGGTGGTAATTACCTTCAGGTCTTCAGTAACCAAATGATGGAGGTGCACACTGTAACAAGAATAAAAAAATATAATTTATTTAACAATAAGCATATTCTAACTTTTAAACTTTCGCGTTTCATCTTAACAACATTATATTTACGTGGGTATTAACGCGGAAAATTATACATGGACATTAAAATAACCGCGAGATTAGATGGGTCCTTATCGCACCGTGTATACCGAAATCCAACTCACACTGATCGGTACCTACATGCAAAGTCACATCACCACCCGCGACACTTACAATCCGTGATATCTGGGGCAAGAGCTAGACCATGTTCAGGAGGTACTTAAAAAGAACGGATATAGTATAGGGGATGGGCGACTATTGCGACCGCTGAAGAGAGCCAGACATCCAAACGTGAGCAGACAACCTGCCTTCATGCCTTATATCAAGGGTGTTACAGACAAGATAGGATCCGTCCTTAAAAAATATTCGATCCCGACGATCTACACACCTGTACTGCCGCTACAAAGCCCAGGTGTTTATAAGATCAACTGCAGCTGCGGTAGTTCCTACATTGGGCAAACGAAGCGGACCATTGCTGAGAGGCTCAAAGAACATATCGCCGCAGTCAAAAACCGACAGAGCAACAAATCAGCGTTAGCAGAACACCTGCTCCAGGCTGGTTCTAATCACTGGGTAGAATTCCACCGACCGCAAATTCTCTCCACTGATCGCCACTACCATACAAGACTTGTGCGTGAAGCGGTTGAAATAAAGAAATGCCCAAATAATTTCAATCGGGAGGACGGCTTTAAATTATCGTCGACGTGGAATCCAGTGCTTCGCAAAACACAACCTCGCTTTCCTTCAAAGTCGGTTAACACATCTGTGGACACGGTCAGTGTAGTGTGTAGACGGCCTAATATGGTAGTAAATGAAAATAAGGGGGTAGATGAAGATTCATCACCCGAATGCAGGGAGCTGTGACATCGCGTCTTCAGTCTGCTTATGACCACGACCTGTGCAACCGGGTCGAAACGTCAAGCCTACCAAGGTATTCAAATTATAATTTTCCGCGTTAATACCCGCGTAAATATAATGTTACTAAGCAATTTCGTCTAATATCCACGGCCTTATAGAAAACCAGCGTGAACTAACGCTTGCGTTAAGTACGATTTTTTAAAACTGATTTACGCTTATTGCGTACAATTATACGTACAAGACTTTATACAAGGTGTAAAAAGACATCTTTAATATATGTGGCTTTACTTAATGCTAGCTTAAGTTCACGCCGATTTTCTATGAGGCCTTGAAAATTGTACGAAATAAGCGTGTTAAGTGTTAAAAAATCGTTCTTAACGCAAGCGTTGGTTCACGCCGTTTTTATACAGATGTGTAAAAAGACACTTAACGAAGCCGAAAGCCACGTATTCTACCCATTATTTGGAACATTTTTTTCTTTAAGACCATAGCTGGGACTCCACGTGTTCTCGAGATATTGAAGTTCAAAGATGCATTTTTATTTTTTATATTTTTGCGCAATTGAATTCTAAGTATTATTACAAAACTTTTTCCAAACAAACATTACCTGAATTTTCGATTTTTCTAAATAAATTACGCATTTGAAGTTACGAACAGTAATGTACGTAATAAATAAATGCATACCCGCACAAAAAACATCGTGCATCTCAGTAGGATTTTTATTTTACAGAATTGTTTTGTTGTAGCGAAGTAAAACGTCGACCTACGTACTTATCACAGCGTTTTAATGCTAAGCTGTGATCATGCACACAATGACACGAAGCCCGTTTGCTTTACATTGCGCGCAAGATTTTTTTTTTTTTTTATTCCTAAAAATAAAAAGTCGTTTCCCAGTGATAATTTTAGCGTAAAGCTACTTAGTTAGAACTGCAGTATGCGTAGTTAACGGCTTCGTTAAGTGTCTTTTTACACCCTGTAGTTGTTTAAATTAGTTGGCCGTAGTTGTTTAAATTAGTTGATATAACTTACCGGGTCTTCCGAAGGGTCGAAGGCGATCTCGAAGACCATAACGTCACCATCCACCATAACATGGGAAACCTTATCAACGGAGATGCGGTGGAAGAAGTCGCAGATTGGTTTTCCGTTCAGCGACACCTGGGGATCGGAGATTTGGTGAAATCAGTATATCTTCACTTTTATTCTTCAAAACTTTGTAAAGGAACAACGCGGTTACATCTTTATAATTCTCTTAAAATATCATTTTTTTTTTGACATTTGAAGTAAGAAGTGTAAGTGCGGAGGAGCCAAGCTTCGGCACAAATGGGTCGGCTCGACCGGAGGGATAACACTGCCTCACAAAAAACCAGCGTGAAAAAACCACAGCGTTGTGTTTCGCCGTGTGAATGAGGTTATCGGAGGCCCACTCGATTCTCACACTGCCCCGCATGATGCAGCGTAGCGCGTGGATGAGTGTTCTTCCGTTGCTTTTAAGTATCTCAGTTTGTATTGAAAACACACACATACTACATACCATAACAAAAAAGAAATAATAATTAACGAATTTGACTTTGATTCTTTGTATAAATGATTGAGACATTCTTATATTAATTGCTTACTACCGACCCGTCTCGGATTCGCACGAGTGCAACGCTGATACAAAATTTCTCTACAATTTAATGGATGTTACTATACACAAGTTTCCGCCGGCGTGGTATTTTGATAAAAAGTAGCCTAAGTCCTATTCCGGAGTCTATCCTATGCTTATGCCAAATTTTATCCAGATCCTCCCAACCGTTTTGGCGTGATTGAGTAACAAAAATCATAAAATCATAAACATCGTAACTTTCGCATTTATAATATTAGCAAGAGTTAAAATATAAACCATCCTCTTCAATCACTCTGTCTATTAGAAAAAACCGCATCAAAATCCGTTGCGTAGTTTTAAAGATTTAAGCGTACATAGGGATATAGGGACAGAGAAAGCGACTGTTTTATATAACTAATTATAGGTAAAAATTACTAACCTTATAAGAATCTTGATAGCAATGAATGAATACTTCGAACGATTCTCCGCTATTCAGTGACAAGGTACCCTCTCTTTCTTCATTTCCCCACTTTGAGGAAGCGTAGTGGTTCCGAACTACAGCATTCTCCTCAAAACGTGGACTGAAATGGAACGCTATTTCCTCGTCCGGGTACAGTTTTGGTCCGCACTGGAGGTTTATCGAGAACCTGGGGATAATTGAGATGATAATTGTTAAATAACCATCTAAAATAGACAAATTTAAAAGAAAAATCGACGGTCGGGTCGACTCGACCGGAGTGATACCACGGCCGGCGAAGCAAACCGGCGTGAAACAACCCTAGCGTTGTATTTCGCCGTGCGAGTGAGGTAAGGCCCAATCCTTCCCTTTCCCAAATTCTCCAAATCCCTAATCGCCAAAAGACCGGCAACGCACTCGTAACTCCTATAGTGTTGCGGATGTCCATAGGCGGGTCCAATTGCTTACTATCAGGTAATTGTTTGCCGACCTATCCCAAAAAAAGCGAGACTGATGTTTGAGGAGGTAAAATCATCAAACGACCTCTCTAATCCTGGGCGTAGCAAGAGGGAGTGTCAGACTCTTACTGACTAAAAACCCGTTCCTTCTCCTGCTCTGGGCCTCAATGCGCTTATCCCGCAACTCCGACTGAACATCAGCCCTATAGGGCCCCGACTGTGGTGGTCTATTGGCTCTTTGCCGCGCGCGGAACGCTACGCGCCCTACGCTCGGGTCTGGGTCTGGTCTTACTCGCCGACCGCAGACCCGCGCTTACGGGGAGATCCATCGCTCGATCCCCGAATTGTCGCCTATCCCGGTGGCTGGGGCGTGAGGAGTAGGATAGCTCCCCTTCGCTTCGTCTCCTTTGCTAGCATGAGAACTGCGTCAGGTGGAAGGTGAAGACACCGTGAAGTCTCAAGCCACTCCTCAAAGAGGGGTCTTACCGCTGCTATAACAGCGTGCCCGACCCGCAACCCTGGTCTGATAATATGCACCCAGAAATGACAATGAGAATTTAAACTTACTTCTTAACTCCAGGAGGAGTCGCTCCCCTCACTCTGACCCTGCGACCTGGGTGCATACCCTTCGGAATTGGCAACACGCATGGTATTTGCTGAAAAAAGAAAATTAATCCAATTAATTTTTTGCACATTTCACAATTTTCCATAACTAGCTTCCGCATGCGGCTTCGTCCGTGCGGTATGTTGATATAAGGGGTAAAGGAGTCAATGTCTTCGGAGTGTGTCCTATGCCTGTGTCAAATTTTATTCAGATCCGTTCAGCCGTTTTGGCGTGATTGAGTAACCAACATACAAACATCGTAACTTTCACATTTATAATAAAAGCAAGACAGGTGATAAAAGCAAATAGTTTTTTACGGTTAAAATCAATTTAAGTAGCTTAACAAGTTTATTTAACATATCTATATACATCTTTATATATAAAAATGGATTGCAAAATGTGTTGGTAAGCGCATAACTCAACAACGCATGGACCAATTTTGCTAATTCTTTTTTTGTTGTGTTTGGAGAAGGTTCTTATCAATGAAAATATTAGAAAAGTATAGGGGAAGATTAGGGAAAAAATAACCCTTTGATAGCGAGATAGTTGGACCCGTGCAAAGCGGGGGCGGGCCGCTAGTAATTAAAAAAAGCGCGTTGAAAAGACTGTCAATAATGATGTTTAACAGCTTCTCCGAATTGATCTGCACCAACTTTATAATGTAACAAAGAATCTATGTGAAACAGATAGAAAAAGATTAACCATGGAGTTTCTTGCTCGTTCTTCTCCATAGAAATCTACACTTTGGAACGAGCAAATAGCTTTACTAAGAGGACTGACCGACATTTTGTTTGACGTTTAAAAGTGCCCGTAAGGGTCTTATTGAAATAAATGATTTTGACTTAGATCTGTACTTTTTACGATTAATTTTATTTGTCTCTGTGTGCCCGAGTGTATGTGATTTTCTTTTGTATTTTATACCAAATACAATTGTCGTGGTGGCCCGGATTTTAAAGAGCCTCTTATGCATAGGTTCGAAACAGAGTTACATGTATTTTCTATGATTATTTAAACACCACATGACATATGGTAAAGAGAACATCGTAACTTCTTTAATTTCTAATTATAAGTTAGACATAGCCCATCCTCCTGGAGCAAGTGTGGTGTGTGAGAAGAGGCCTTTGCTCAGCAGTGCACCGGATGCTGGCTGTCGCAGCAATGAACTGGCCACATCCACCGCATTTAGCCATATTGAAATTTAAATAAATCCTGTGTACTTCGCTAGCGGTCAACACAATATTTATATATATGTATAACTATACAGGTACCACAATTGAGTTATAAAACACCGATAAGAAATGTTTTTTGCAGATGTTAAGGTCAGTTATGGTGTAGATATAGGTATTTTTAATAAACAAACGGCCGTGATTAGATTAGACCTTATTTCTTTACACTTTCCAATGTATTATTTGGACTGAGCTGTGCTTTATTTTTTTATTTTGTTTTAAGGTAGATACTACTAACACTGAAGTTATTATGTATCAAAACTTGCGCTTGAATTAATTATAATCACTCATTTGATCTATTCCACAATATATGTTGTATGTAGGCTGATGATGATGATGTAATATTAAATGTATCTTTCCTTTAAGACTCTTGTCAGCTCGAAGGTCGAGTCATTCATAATCTGTTTAGTTCATTAAACCCCAATTGCACACCGGCATTTGCGCACATATTGTGTTTCGGATTATCACGATCGAAAAAAGTCAAATATCCTTTATTTCAATAAGACCCTTACAGGCACTTTCAAATGCCAAAAAAAAAATTTTTAATGTAAACATAGTGTCAGTCTGTCGGTCAGTCCTCTTAGTGAAGCTATTAGCTCGTTCCAAAGTGTAGATTCCAGCCAGGTCGAAAGGTTAATTATTCAAGAACTTTATAACTCCTTACCAGGTTCGGGTCCTGTGGTGGGCTTCCACCAGCGAAGTCTATCTCCTCCACTGTAACATCACCGTCCACCAAGATGTGGGTGATCTTCCGGTAGGGGATGCGATGGGTGAATTCGCAGACAAATTTTCCATTCACCTCGACCTGGTGGGAAATGGGTGAAGTTGGTAGATATTAACAAAATGTTTTTTTCATGGTATAAGTCGGGCAAACGAGCAGACGGGTTACCTGATGGTAAGCAATCGGCGCCGCCCATGGACACCCGCAACACCAAAGGAGTTACAAGTGCGTTGCCGGCCTTTTGGGGTTAGGGGTTGCGGATATAACGATCGGGAAGGGATAGGAAAAGGGGCGGGATTGGGCCTCCGGTATCCTCACTCACAACGCTGTGGTTGTTTCACGCCAGTTTTCTGTGAGGTCGTGGTATTGCTTCGGTCGAGCCGACCCATTCGTGCCGAAGCATGGTTCTCCCACACTTTTGTTTATTCAAAGCTCTTAACTATGCGCCACTTACCTTAAAGAAGTTGTAGTAACAGTAAATGAGAGCTTCGAAACAGTCTCCGCTTTTCATTGGCAGACTATCGCTGATCTCCTCGACGCCCCACTTCGAACAATCGTAGTGGTTGCGCACAACACAGTTCTGCGTGAAGCGAGGGTTGAAGTGGAAGGCGATGTCTTCGCCAGGGTACATCTTTGGTCCACATTGCAAGTTGATCCCGAACCTGTGGGCAAAAATTGGTAATTTTCAAACGAATCCAACTTTTTCAAAACTAGCTTTTATCAGGTGGTATTATACGAAAACCAAAAGACCAGGCCCCGAGACCAGGCCCAGAGACCAGGCCCAGAGACCAGGCCCAGAGACCAGGCCCAGAGACCAGGCCCAGAGACCAGGCCCAGAGACCAGGCCCAGAGACCAGGCCCAGAGACCAGGCCCAGAGACCAGGCCCAGAGACCAGGCCCAGAGACCAGGCCCAGAGACCAGGCCCAGAGACCAGGCCCAGAGACCAGGCCCAGAGACCAGGCCCAGAGACCAGGCCCAGAGACCAGGCCCAGAGACCAGGCCCAGAGACCAGGCCCAGAGACCAGGCCCAGAGACCAGGACCAGAGACCAGGCCCAGAGACCAGGCCAGAGACCAGGCCCAGAGACCAGGCCCAGAGACCAGGCCCAGAGACCAGGCCCAGAGACCAGGCCCAGAGACCAGGCCCAGAGACCAGGCCCAGAGACCAGGCCCAGAGACCAGGCCCAGAGACCAGGCCCAGAGACCAGGACCAGAGACCAGGACCAGAGACCAGGACCAGAGACCAGGACCAGAGACCAGGACCAGAGACCAGGACCAGAGACCAGGACCAGAGACCAGGCCAAAAGACCAAAAGACCTTGAAGTTCGTGCCTTGTATTGGACAGTGTTAATTACGAACGAACTCACCTTTTGGCGCAGGAAGGGGTGTCGCCCTTAACCCTAATAATGCGGCCGGGGAAGACCCCTGAAGGGATGGGGAATGAGCCGGGTACTTTCTGAAAAAATGGAAAAAGAAAAAAATTTAAATAAGAAGAAAGTGTACATTCTGTAACGAGCTGCTCATTAAACTTGGCAAAACTTTTACAAATGTCGCAGCAAAGTGGTATTTCTTTTTTAAGAAACGTTGCCCCACATTAGTATTTTCTCCTGTGTCGTGGGTGCGGTTACAAACACAATTTCACATAAACATCACACCCAGACCCGGTACAACAATTTGTGGATAACACAAAGAGTTGTTCTGTGCGGGAATCGAACCCGCTACACGTTGCACGGCAGCCAGTTGCCCAGCCGCCGCACCATCAACATTATATTTTTTAACGCTACTCTTCCAGCGGGTATCACACACACATAACATTTACAGAGACCGGACACAATTTTTGTGATAACTAAGTACAAACAAAGACACTACTATGTCCAGTCCACAAAAAAAAATGCAAAAACTGCTGGACCAATTTGATTGTTTGGTATGGAGATACTAAGATACAATCTTTGGACTATTTGGAACCTAGACTGTTTTTTATCAATATACCACGGGGCGACGCCACGGACATCTAAAAAACAACATTATATAAATGCTAAAGTAACTCTTAGTCTGTCGCTCTTTTCTTCAAGCCTAAACTACTGAACCGATTTGTGTGAAATTTGGTACAGACATAGTTTGGAACTCGAGAAAGGACATTGGATAGTTTTAAAACCAAAAATCTGCAGGTAGTCACTATTCCGGTCAGTGGGTCATATTAGGGGCGGGTTTCCACGCGAACGGAGTCGCGGGCAAGAGCTAGTATCTAAATAAGTCAGCAAAATACTGATGGTAAGCAATCGGCCACCAATCGACAATCACGGTACCAGACAAGTACGAATGGGTCGGCTCGACCGGAGTGATACCACGGCCTCACAGAAAACCGACGTGAAACAACCACAGCGTTGTCTTTCGCCGTGTGAGTGAGGTTACCGGTGGCCCAATCCCTCCACCTCCCCTATCCCTTTAAATATAGGCAACCCTTATCCTTACCCCTTATTTATGAAAAAAGACTGACCTCTGAGTTTGTTTCGGCATTTCTTCTCAGAGTAGTCAGATAGGAAATGCCGGCTTCATCTAGTTTTTCACATATAAATTGACGTGTAAAAGTGCCGTTTTATGGCCTATTTGCAAAAATAAATTCATTGTTTCATTGTATCCCAAAAAGGCCGGCTACGGACTAGTGACTCCTTTGGTAATACGAGTGTCTATGGACGGCGCTGATTGCGAAACCCTGCGCCCCCTACACGCTATTTAGCTTAAAAAATGCTATAAAAATAATTTTAATTTTCTTTAAAATTGTTTTAAGTCATTTTTTTTTATATTTTTTTTATTGTTTTGCAGGTCCTCGGCAAATTAGCAGACGGTTCACCTGATGGTAAGCAATCTTTATAACTACGCAACGCATTTCGATGCGTTTTTTTAATAGATAGAGTGATTGAATAGAAAGGTTTTTACAAAGTGTAAAAAGACACTTAACGATAGATAGATAGATAGATAGATAACACATTTATTCAGCACAAACAATAAAAACACAAATTAATTGAAAAACAAGTGGGTACACAATACAAATTAACAAGAAAATTAACACAAAATAGAATCAAACAAAAAAAAAATATTTAAATATTACGTAGGTATTAGACGGGTAGTTAGTACGAAAGAAAGAACAAAGAACGAGAAAAAAAGGAGAAAATAATAAAATACGGCGCGACGAAGCCGTTAACTACCATACTGCAGTTCTAACTAAGTAGCTTTACGCTAAAATTATCACTGGGAAACGACTTATTTTTAGGTATCAAAAAAAAAAAATATTATTGCGCGCAATGTAAAGCAAACGGGCTTCGTGTCATTGTGTGCGTAGGTTCACAGCTTAGCATTAAAATGCTGTGATAAGTACTTAGGTCGACGTTTTACTTCGCAACAACAAAACAATTCCGTAAAATAAAAATCCTACTGAGATGCACGATGTTTTTTGTGCGGGTCTGCATTTATTTATTACGTACATTACTGTTCGTAACTTCAAATGCGTAATTTATTTAGAAAAATCGAAAATTCAGGTACTGTTTGTTTGGAAAAAAGTTTTGTAATAATACTTAGAATTCGATTGCGCAAAAAAATATTTAAAATGCATCTTTGACCTTCAATATCTCGAGAACCCGTGGAGTCCCAGCTATGGTCTTAATGAAAAAAATGTTCCAAATAATGGGTAGAATACGTGGCTTCCGGCTTCGTTAAGTGTCTTTTTACACCCTGTATTCTATTAAGCCTCCATTCTAAACAACAATATATTTAAAACGACGTTAGAGTGGATTATTTTTATAGGTACCTGCAAAATTTTAACGAAATTTTTTCATTCGTAGATATATGATTTATGTGGGTACAAAAAAATATATTTCTTATCTTTACTCTTGGTAAGCCATTTTAAAGGCTTAGTTTATCAAAATCTGCTACAGCCTGGGCCTCGAGTCTGCTATTACAATAGTGTCAGAATAGTAGATCATTGGTTTCAAAATTGTTGATTTGAAAAGTTTGGTAATCTACTAACACGATAGCATCATTATGACTTTCCAATGTCACTTCATTGAAATAATTCTTAAGAACGGTAATCTCGCAGATAAAAGACAAATGAATATTTGACATAATGCGGTAAATTAATAAAAAATTACAGTTCCTTTATTCAATGATATACGTTTAGAATATTAATGTGCAGTTATTGTTTATAATTCGTTACAAAACATCTCGTACTATAATTCTATTATGACATCGCCGAACGCCAATGATCAGCCATTTTGAATTAACAGATTACGAACTTTTAGCAAAATGACAATGGAATCCTGGGGTGTGATTCTGTAAGACTTCATTCTAAACTTCGAATCTGAATCCGCGGTGAGTTTCTTGATTGGCATTCTAAAACTCGATTCCTAACTCGAATCTATGCTAGCGCTACACTTGCGAGTGTGTTTACGAGTTGAACTAAATTGACCGCAACATTTTGACAGATAAAGTATGAGATAACGTTGAAAATCGTATTCTATAATGTAATTTACCGGTCACTTCGACGCTCACTTCGAACTAGAACAAGATTCAAAATGTCAAATTAAAAGTATCTATTTTACGAGTGAAAATGGAAGAAATAATAGTTAGATAGTGTTCAAATTAAGTTTTGAAAGTAACAAAGTGAATAAGTGCTTACCTATTAAAACGATAACGATGGCAAGAATGTTTTTGGTAAAATCTTTGTTAGAAGAAGCTCATGCTTTAGATAAACAAGAAATGCGTCTACAATCTAGCACCATTCGAAGTTTGTCTTTATTAACCTGAGATGACGACTATGTGAGCGTGTATGTGCAATGGAGCTGATTGACCAACTGAAGGATAAAACCCACAAAACGGCGAGGCAAAGGACTTTGGTATGGTATAGTTCATAACATGTATTACCTGGTTAGTTATGTCCCTACTTCAGAAAATATAAGTCTAATTACTAGGTTTTATTTATATTTGATTGGTCGGAAACGGATTACCTGATGAAAAGGATTCAGCGCCGCCAATGGATGGTATAGTTCATAACATGTATTACCTGGTTAGTTACGTCCCTACTTCAGAATAATAAGTCTAATTACTAGGTTTTATTTATATTTGATTGGTCGGAAACGGATTACCTGATGAAAAGGATTCAGCGCCGCCAATGGATGGTATAGTTCATAACATATATTACCTGGTTAGTTACGTCCCTACTTCAGAATATATAAGTCTAATTACTAGGTTTATTTATATTTGATTGGTCGGAAACGGATTACCTGATGAAAAGGATTCAGCGCCGCCAATGGATGGTATAGTTCATAACATATATTACCTGGTTAGTTACGTCCCTACTTCAGAATATATAAGTCTAATTACTAGGTTTTATTTATATGTGATTGGTCGGAAACGGATCACCTGATAGAAAGGATTCAGCGCCGCCAATGAATACCCGCAACAACAGAGGGATTACGAGTGCGTTGCCGACCTTTTGGGGATTATGGATTTGGAGATTTTGACACACATTCACACGGCGAAACACAACGCTATGGTTGTTTCACGCCAGTTTTCTGTGAGGCCGTGGTATCACTCCGGTCGAGCCGACCCATTCGTACCGAAACATGGCCTTCGCACACTTAAAATAGTATAAGTACTAGATAGTCATTCGATTTTTTTCAGGTGATTCAGGATATGCTCAACGTGCCTACTTTATGACACCATTAGTGGTGCTGAAGCCAATTCCCCAGAAGCATTTTAAAATAACATACATGCATATTACTGCTCGCAATTTTGAAGAGAGGACAATTAGAGACGAAATTATGTACAATTGCTGAAGTTCAAAGGAGGCAAACTAGGAATTTGCCATCTAATACAGGTTTAAATCTAGGACGTAGGCAAAATATTGTGCCTCAAAGAGCCAATAGACCACCACAGACGGAGCCCTACAGGGCTGATGTTCAGCCACGGTGGCGGGGCAAGCGCAATGAGGTGCCACGGTCACGGCCTAAAGCAGGAGAAGGAACGGGGGGGTTTTAGTCAGTAAGAGTCTGACACTATCTCGCCTTACCCTGGGCGGGAGAAGTGATATGATGATTTTCCCCTGACAAAAAAATATGATTATGATTTTATTTAATTTTATTTTGATTTTAATTCAATTAGGGTCTGATTAGCGTGTGATTTCATTGTTTTATTACATTTTTTTCTTTAATTTAGGCTTACGAGCCTAATTGTTAGACCCTAGTTAATTTATTGTATCCCATAATTGTTTGAATATACAATTGAGTTAAAATCAAATAAATAAATAGTGATATGTGAGGATGGGTCTTTAACTAATAAAACTGCTAGTACCCGTTAAAATTGTTTAATTTAAATATAAAAAAAATTTGGTTGAAACGTCTTAAACACTAAAACACAACTTCGTTGTTACACCCTATCTCGATGCATGGCCTCTGCCAATGCTCACAATCCATTCCAGATTGAAACTACAGATCCAGCTAAAATTTAATCATTCCCTAGACTTCTCTTCAGAAATGCTTGCAAGATCTGCGCATTTGATATTTGTAAATTCTTCCAAT